GACCCTGTAGCCATCATTCATCAAAACTGTCCAGGGCTCAAATGATGCAGGTTGGTGAACCGGGACCTGTCTTTGGTAGCTGTGCTTGCTTCTCTAGAACATCCAGTTTTCTTTTTTTCCCCAAAATAATAAAAAAAAAAGCTTTGGCCTTTTGACTTTCTAAATATGAGAATAAGTGACACAAGAGTGACTTTTGTGACACTTTCCTGTGCTTAGAGTAAGACTACTTCAACTATGTATTAGTATCGTTAGTGTGGTACCTCCACCTGTCTTGCCCCTCACCAAAGCTCATCTCCACGAGGGCATCACACTAGTATAACAGCATGTACCCGCGTGCATATTAGCACAGCCATTTTGCAAAGGGAACAGGAATAAAATTTAACTAAAAAGATATCTTTGCTTTGCCACTGCCTTTGTTGGACTGCTATAGGTTTTATTTTAAAAAAATCAACTGACAAGTCTAAAGAAATAACCGTACTGCCCTACAAACTCTTCAAATGGGCAGCCCTGTGCCTGCTGGTTGCCTAAACCAACACTCCTCCCTCTCATCAGAATGAGGGAGTAAACAGTGCTGTCATTTGAAATTAGTGCTTTGATTAGCAACAACAATATAACTCTGAGAAGAATTTACTCCCTACAGAGTTGTGAAGTCTACAGACTTGCTGCTTGCTTTGGAGAACACATCAGAGAAACCAGCTTCTGACAATGTGACCACTTGGTGGATCACAGTTTTTATGTCTCTATCTTATATGCTTGGTCCAAGCAGAGGCTCAGGACACACGGGCTTCTACAGCTAGAACAGAGAAGCAGAAATGAAATTCCATCAAGTCGAAGTGACCTCAGGTCTACTGCCTCCGCTGAGGACTGCCAGAGTCACAGCAGTGCGATGTCTGCCTTTGCTACACTGGGCAGAAAGGAAATATGTGAGGCCTAGAAGAGCTCCATCTCCTCCTTCCAGAAACCCAGATGTTTAAACAAAGAATTTAGATCCCTCCTCCCTAAGTCTTCTTGGGGCTTCCTAACTGAATTATTCCTGCTAATGCACATTTTCCCTTAGCTTTCCTATTTGACTCCACAGTTGGATCCAAAATCAGAACCGTTATCCAAAGTGCAATTGTACTGGTTTTTTTTCCTATCTTCTTGTATACCCTTCTGAAGAAGAAATTTGTTAAATCCTAACTTTTTCATTTTTTCATAGCCAATCTATAGGTCAGAAGTGATGATTAAACCTGCAAACACATCCTCTTCCATAGTTGGTTAATTCTTTCATTCTTACATGTAGATGCAGGTCTAGCCTAATAGCCCAGATAGGTCCCTGGATTATCTGGGCACATTTTATAAAGATGATAATAAACTGGATTATTAAATTCAGTATTATGGAGTCATTTGATCTCTGATAGTGATTGTTCATTCACATAAGATACTGACAGAGTAGGTGGATATGGAGGAATACTCAAGTATGGGCCCAGTATAAACACCTGTAACTTCTTTATCAGAACATTGTTGCTTTTCAAGAATTACTTGAAGGGGTCCCCATAAAAGTTGTCAGCTTCTCTACAGTGCCTCCAAAGCTATTCGTTTTTGTGACCTTATCCAAGACTTGGACTAGAATTTTCTTCCTCTTTTGGATAGTTTGTTGGTGTTTGGGTTTGTTTTTTTTTTTTAACCCCTCAGACTGATCTAGGGTAGTCATACCTCACTCTCTTTGAGGTCTAGAAATGCATGTTGATTAAAAACCCTTTCCTGTTTCCACATGCACCCTATTCCGTGATCTCTGGTAGTGGGGACAACCATTCAGAGACCAAAGGAAGGCTGGTTTCTTTTACTTCCTTAGAAACAGGATGGTAAGGAGGTGTTTCAGGGAAGAAAGGTGTTTTCTTTTTCCTCCTACAAAGAGGAAAGAGGAACAAATTTTCAGCTACAGTGGCTCAATATCAATGCTAGTTTTGGGGAAAGTTATCCATATTCACAAGACTGCTTATGAAAAAAAAATCCAAAGAAACTGATGAAAGCATTTGTTTCTGAAGGTCAGCAAGTATCAAAGCAGTCCCTAAGGGCTGCCTTTGACTTTCCACAGTCTGCAGTGAGGACTCTTGCTTCTGCAATTTCCATTAAGCAGTCTTGTTTGGCCTTCTAATCATCTGGACTTTGTCCAGAAATCAAAGCCAAAGTTGAGATCCTCCTTTTTTGAAGGAGAGAGTCTTTTCAGCACACCAAATAAGTTTTTGAACACACAGGAATGAATATGTAGACAGGTCTCAGAATTTACCAACAGTCCATGAGAAAAACCAGATAAGCGACACTTGTTACCAGAGTCATGAACATCCTTTCTCTTCCCTCTACCAGAGCATACCATCCAGTGCCTCCCTGCTACTGGCACAAAGCTAAGTGTCTCAGGCATTTTTAGAGGTTCAAATCTGAAAAGCTGCCCTTAGAAGTACTAGTCTTGCTTTTACAAAGCATTGTTTATACCTACCTTCCTTCTCAATTTGCTAATTATACAATGGCCTTTTAATTGGGAAACCGTACGGTGCATTTTTCTATGGCACTATCCCTTGTTATCACCCAAGACAGGAAATACAGGAACCATCTGAACAAAAAAAAAAAATTACGTATTTTCAGTTTTTCTAAGTGAACTCTACCTATTTTTACACCCTCCCAGCCTCCTCAGAGTACCTTCATAGTGACTTCTAAAAGGCAACGCTATGGGCCTACACACAGGCACACGCAAGAACATACTATGACTCCCCTCTTTTCCCCTCGGTACTCTGGGCTGATATTCTTTCATCCTACCCACTAGCAAGCATTAGGCTCATTTACCTTTAGAAATTAACACACCGCTGTGTAGTATCTATTCACTCATTCCTATTGCTGCTTTTGCTTCCAAGTTTTTTTTATCTTCTCTATTGAAAGCTGAAGCAAGCTAGTGGTAATCCTAGAAGAGCAATACCCTGGGTACTCAGGTGAAGTCTCTTGTGCAACTGCCTCTTTTGGTTAGTGTTTCTTACAAGTCAAATAACCTTCGGTCTTCCCTGTAACATCAATTTCGGAGCTACCTCAACTGCTTATGCATTCACCCTCCTCCTTTAGAGATGGCTAGAATTATAAACAGCAATTACCTGAGCTCCTGCCCCTTTCACGAGCCTGGCAATGCGCTAGTGTGAAGGACAGTGTTTCCCCACTTCTCTCACTGTGTTCAGTCTTTTCTCGCCTCAGAACCACAGCCTGCCACTGCTGCTAGCAAGCAGTCTGCCAAGGGAGCAAGCGGCCTCTTCCTTGTGCCTTTTCCCAATATAATTAAAAATCGCAACTTTTGCTGCCTTGTACTTGTCACAGATCAGTGTCCTTTTCCATCCTCCCTGTATAATACCTATTCTTTCTACCAGATAACTCTATTCCCCCCCCTTTCTCTTTTTCCACGAGCTCTTTTCTTCTTCTGCAGCACTGCAAAACTCTGGTTTTGCTCCACTGAATGGTTTCTGCCTTCTCCTGACAGTCATGTTTTTTCTGTGGATCTCAAGCCTTGAATTTTAAAAACACTGTCTGCGTTTAGTTTGGGGTAAGATTCATACCATGTAACTTTAGATATCTGAAGTTCAGCATCTAGCCTAAGATGGCTGCTTACCTGAGGTCCCCCTCTAGTCTGTAGAGGGAGGAAGGACCTCCACAGAGCAATCCGTCCCCCTCTAAGATACTCTTCTAGAACAAGTAGGATGAATCACGCTGTGAAAGAGCCCATAAGGGGAGCTTGGCTAGATGGGAATACCAAAACTACTTCAAACTGTAAGTTATCTTCATGGCCTCCTTTCCAGCATACTTTCAAATCTGACTCAGTTCCACTATTATCTTTAGCTTCATCTTGAGTCCTTCAGTCTTCTCTTCCATGAGGATCACCTGATATTTCAAAAATCAGAGGTTCTGTTGAATATCCCTTCAAGGAAGATACACACCCCAGAGGCTCAAGTCCCACCACCTTTGCTGTCCCCTCCTCTGGGAAATCTATAGCACTGCCTCAAGATAGATGACTCCTACTGATATAGGAGCCACCATCAGCTTTTCTTCCTAGCCCTTAGACTACAAGAAGGAACGATGAAAGCCCTCCAAACTTCCTACACTGAACTCCTACACCACCTTCCTTATTTCTTCTAAGATCAGCGTCATGGCAACTAGCACTTCTCATCTTCCCTTTGTAAGCTGATGAACTGGTTTAGAGGCACTCCATTACCAAGGCTCTTTATTTGCACTCCTCTAAAATAAGTTGTGTTGCTCCGAAAAGCCTGAAAGGTTTCAGCAAGTGCTGAATAAACTAAGTAGTTCATGTATAAATAATATATCAGCTATCACTACATTTTTAATGGATGCATCACGAACATATTTTTAGATGGCCTAGGTTAGTCAGAACGACTCTGGCATCTGCTTCCCATTCCCACATAAGCAATTCCAGTTTCACAGTTCTGTGTCCATCTAAAACACCTACACGGACGTGGCCTTTTCAGCACTGTCTCCAGTACAGCTTGCTGCTGCACGGGAGACCATCCCACTCCACAAGTAGCCTGCTGACCATGGTGGGATGACCTCAGGGAAAAGGTGCTGTTGGGTATTCTTACATACTTCCTCCAGCACTTATCGACCTATCTCTTCTTAAAAAGATAACGGATTAGAGGTGTCAGTGTAAATTCGATTACATGCTGATGATAGCTTCTACTTGTCCCTACCCCCATGAAACCAGGGATACAACACAGGCATTAGAGTGTAAAAGTTAGTCACTGTGGAGTCAAGCACGAAAGCCACCTGCTCGGGGAGCTGTCCCCTGCCTTGCAGGGGACATGATCACATGGGCTACAACTCTAGAAATACAGCCATCAGAAGCTGGTGAGCACCAGGCCCTTTTATAATCAGCAAGCAACCGAACCATCCCCTCTCTTCTCCCCCAAAGGCTTTCACTCGCACAGGTGCTGGCCAGCCGGCACAAAACCATCAGCTCTCGCCTCCCCACTTACTCCTCTTTCCGGTGAAGCTCCTCCTCAGACTCGGTGAGGCGCTGCTTCAAGGCTGCGATCATCTCCACTGCCACGTCCACCTGCCGGCTCAGGGCCCGCTCCCGTCGCTGCACCTCCTGCTTCTTCTGGGACAGCTGCACAAAAGCTGCCCGCACCTCCAGCAGCTCCGCCGTCTTCTGGGCCAGCTCTTTGGTAAGCTTGTCGATTCGCTTCTCAATTGTTTTGTCCACGGCCTCTACCATCCTGTTAAACTTTTCTCTGACGTGTGCCTCGAAGGAGGCTTTGGAGTCAGTGGCCGGGAGGCCGGGTTTAGAAATGTGCTCACCGGGAGAGTCAGCCGACACATAGTTTGCAGCGTAGGAGACGGGGCGTTCAGCTTCCACCTCCAGAGGCTGCCCGCGCTTTGTGCTCTCGCAGGACGCATTGCAAAAATTCAGGTAGGGCCCTTTTTGCTGTACGGCGCTGCCGGGGCTCCCCAGGCTGCCCTGGGTGGCAGACTCCGGCGGGGAGATCAGCTCCACGTCTTTCAGGGGTGAAAACAGGCTGCTCTTGCTCAGGAGGCTTCTCTCCTCGTAGCTGTGGCTGTACTCCAGGTGCGCCCGCAGAGAGGCGAGGCTCCTGAACCTGGTGTGGTCACCGCATCGCGGGCAGCGGAAGGGGAGGCAGACGCTGACGCTCCCGAGCGGCTCCTGCCAGGGGTGCCTGCCTTCATCCCGGGCCGTCTGTTGCATTCCTCGCCGGGCCCTAGGTGGGAGAAAAGAGCCCGCGTTCACGGATTTCCGGGGCCGGGGTA